ATCATAAGTGAACTAAATGTACCATTATGCATTGAAGAGCATAGATTTCTTGAAATGATGAATTCTATCCATCGTTTTTTTAAGATGCGTATTCAAGATATGCAGGAAATAATTATTCCATTCTGATCGATAATTGTGAATACAAAAAATATCATCAAAACCTCATTGAATATATGTACACAAAAGTATGCTTTGTAAAATATAATTCATGAGAATAAATACTGTCAAAGTTTGGGCAGAAGCGGGAAAATTAATAAAATGAAGTCCAAAGCAAATGTAATAAACAAATTTTTTTTTACTTAAGATCAAATGTGAATGTCACCACTTAAAAAATTAACAATATTATACAATATATATTGTAAGTTGAAAATTATTTTGCAGTTAGTTTGCTCAACTACGGTATTGACTAGTAAAAGAAAATATTGCTTAAGTGCTAAAAAGATACCAATGATTTAAACTGAATGATTTGTATTCGTTAAAATCTTAGTTAAGTAGGAGAAAATTTATATATACATATGTAATTATGATTTCAGTGTGGCGGAAACTTGGAAAATTACGAAATCTATCATTCAGAAGATACAAGTATTTATTAGCAAATGGCGGTGTAGTATACTTCCGATCCGTTGGCTAGACAACATCATCAAAAACCTACTGTGAGAAAGAACAAACCAGATTTCAGCGGAGGAGGAAATCAGGAAGAATCGGTGGAAGTGGATAGGACACACTCCGGAAAGCAGACGACTGCGTTACAAGACAACCCCTCACTTGGAACCCTCCAGGTCAAAGGAAAATAGAAAGGCCAAAGAACACATTACTCCGAGAAACAGAGAAAGACATGAGAAGAATAAACAAAAAGTGGACGGAACTGGATAGGGAAGTCCAGGACAGAGTAGGTTGGAGAATACTGGTCGTTGGTCTATGATTCGTTAGGGGTAACCGGTGAAAGTAAGTTAGTAAGTAATGATTTCAGTAAATAATCAAGCCATGAAAGATGGAGTTCAACCATACCGAGTGTGAGGCAGATAATCACCATAAGCATCGGAATCAAGTCGCTGAATGCTGTAAACTGAATAAAGTTTGACGTAGCAACTCAGTAGTCTAGAGGTTGTGTTCAAGAACGAGAATGAAGGTCCTAAGATAGATTCCCTGTACGATAATCGTAGGTGCTAGGGAACCTTGTAATAAGACAGAACAGTTGTGCATTACTTGCAGAATTTTAATACAGGGTTCGTTAAGTTCCGTTCGTAAAGTAAACTGAAAATAATTATATTCTAGTTAGAATACTTAAAATCATTATTTTCGACCACAAAATTGGTTGAATAGTTTCGAGTAAAAATAGTTCTGAAGGAAATTCATGAAATTTAACAGATATTTGTGACCTATATTAACCGAAAGAGAAAGAGAACTAGTATTGTATAAATCATAATCAAGAATTTTAAGTAGACAAAGTCCTTGATAATAATCAATTAAAGTACGATAAACAGATAGAAATTATATAGTAAATGTGATAAAACTAAAAACATGGAAAAAAGAGAGAATCGGAGTATTGGTTTTGTTAACAAAATATCTCCATTTGAACTACTAGTGAATAAAATGTTCGAAACTGAAATCAGCTCCAAGTGTCAAACTCTTAGAATATTTGTATTACGTGGTTGTGAAGATTGTTAAGTTAAATATTTGAAATCATGAATCAATCAATGTTAGACCATCATCAGAAACCTGAAAGCACTGGACGGCTGTTTCGTCCTGGTATGGGACTCCTCAGCACAGCGCATCTACGATTCCTACACCCCTCAGTATTCGAACCCTGGACCTTCGGTCTGACGTGCGAACGCCTAACCTCTGGACCACTGAGGTCGAATTATTTCTCATCGTACAGATTTTTCAGTGTAAAGCTTGGTATCTATGATCGTTTCAATTCGAAAATTAATCAGAATTAACTCTGATCTTCGTTTCTGATTTTATTCTTAAGTAGAGTCGAAAAGGCTTATTAAAACCTAAAGTAACTGTATAAAGAAAAATTAAATCATTAATTCACTCTGTGAAATATACTTTATGCCTAGCACTTTAATTTTACAGTCTTATATGCGCATCAATTATTCAATTGGTGTGGAATGAAATAAAGTATTTGTTGAAATTAAGCATGAAATATATTCTCTTCCTACAATTTATACGTATATCGCAAATTTTAATACCATATACCTTTAAATCAATTCATCTAAAGATAAATTTCGACCTAAAGAATGCACATGTATCAAGGAAAAAGTTTGCACTATAAATGGCATTTGAATAGATATTTTATATGATACGATACTTTTGCATTTGATCAAAATTATTGGGGCGAAACAATTCACGTTGCAAGCATTTGAAAATAATGAGACTTTCATCAGGTAAATAATGAAGCATAAATTATATAACACAAGTACATGATTTTATACATGTAACTCGAGTTTGATGTTCATTGAAGGGAGGGTGGAGTGCAAATGTTGAAAGCGACAAATACTAGCAAATATTATCATGAGTCTTTTTGAAATTCTAAATTAATATAAATAATGGAAGGTTATTTCATTATACTATGATTGAAAATATAAAGTATTTCATTTCAGTGCATTTATCAATAAAAAATAGTATGTTATTATATATATATATATTTACGTCAAGTTAAGATGTACATAATAAGGTCTAAATGTTTCATTATTATGACATTTTATTGAAAGTCATTAAATGAATTAAATTTCGGTTGTCTATTGCACATATTTACCTGACTAATTTACCAGCCATCATTGAATGAAAAGATAAATTTATTTTTCAGTCAACTGTCAAATCTACTTAACATTATCCAGATTATTAGTAAAATGTCATTGATTCTTAACATTACGAAAAAAATATTTATCTGAATCTCTTCTAGTTGAGTTAACAAAATGTTATGAATTCACTTGCTTGTGTTATATACTATGATTTCTACACCATGATTTAATATAAAAAATACTTTTATAAAAATATAAATATTTAAAATTTACAATGTCATAATAATTATATTTTTTTCAGAAATATTCAATTGAGAAAAGGTCAACAATTTTTAAAATTTCACAAGAATTAAGTTATTGAAAACTATACATTGTTTGAAAATTAACGAAATGTTCATTAAAGTGAAGTAAATATTAATTTTGTACAAAATTACTTTATAAAAGTTTAGGTATAATTTGAAAATAATCTTATTATAGTTGAAGAATAATCAGAAAACAAGTAGCATCACTAAAATGAAATTTTGTTTCTAGTGAGCAAAATAATTCGATCTCTGCTATTTTATAACTCCATGAAATACCATGAATCTCCTCCACACAGCCATTCAATGGATACACTTTCAACCGCGCAGATAACATGCTATTAAGAGGAAAGAATCCAATGAGATTTCAAAGGCCTATTGTGAACTGATTTTTATACTGTTTTTTAAGTTGATTATGCGAATGACAACGAAGTTGGATGACAGTTTTTAATATTTGTGAGTGACCAGCTTAAATGTACATGATTAGATTTAATGGAAAGCCTTGGATGCGCGCTGCTGATGAGTCCCATACCAGGACGAAATGGCCGTCCAGTGCTTTCCTGTTTCTAATGGTGGTCTAACATTGATTGATTGATGTTTTCAAATGTGTGAAATCAGTTATATCAGAAGTGGAACAATAACTCATCAATAACAATTAATAACAACTGAATTTAGAGATGTAAATCAAAGGAATAATACTCAGTAGCTAAACCATGGAATATTTTTCATGATAAGTAAACGTCTCCAGCTGCAAAAGAAATAGGTCTATGCTGCTACTTGTATAGCCAAATAACACTGGACTTTCATGAAAAAAATCTTCAAAGTTAAACTTAACCGAAAATTACGTCTAAAATTAGCTTTATTCTAATTAAATTTAAAAAGTCAATTACATATCTCATTCGACCTACCTTGGTATTATTGATTAAAACTTCATCATAAATTGTGGCATAAATATTATCGTTGATTTATCCCTCATTTTAATGTTATTTTGACATTTTCAGATAAATTGGTTTGAATGTTTTGTGCTTTATTTCAATAAGTAAACAAGTTTAACTGCATATGTAATTGCAACATGTATGAAAACGTACATCATATGATTCTAATCAAACTAATCTACTCAGGTGGTATCGAATCACGTACAAATATCAATGTTTGAAAAACACTGAGTTACAATCAGATAGTTATGTTAATTATAATATAAACATTTGTATACACTTATAAGTGTACAATTAGGTCTTAATCAAGATCAGATTGTTGTGAAAAATATTTTTCATCAAAATTTATCAACAGAGATAAAATAAAATGATTACCACTTGATGATTTGTATACATAATTTATAAATCTAATTAGCTCGGTTCACATTAGTATAAATAAAAACTATACATAGTTCAAGGTTATAATATATGTCTTCTTTTAACTTAATTTCTAACAAATTTTTAATCATCATTTGCAAACAACTGATTATTACCTGAGAAACATCTTTAAGTTTGCCTGGAATGTTTTGTTTCTAATCGATGAGAGTTTCGAATTTAGAAGAAGTAGGAAACACTTTCGGGGAAAAAAATTCACAGTACTCTGTTTCAGTAAAACATATTTAGAATATTTTATCAATTTAACCCCTTAACATTATGGCACATATGATTATCTCACATCACTGATTTTCATTTCAATGATCTTAAAGACTAGAGTCATTCAAGACATTCCAGAGTAGCATAACCATATCACAATTTAATCATGAATACTATTTTAATCAATGTTTTCAAGTGATTCAGTAGTATCTAAAGAATGACCATGTCTAAATTTTTGCAAACATACTATTAATTCTTGCCAAAAAAACGATACTTTTTTAAATCAATAAATCGTTAAAAAGTCAATGTGTATTTTTATTTGAAAATGTTAACTGAGGCAATTCGAAAGGGACAAAAAAAACAACCACCGGAAATTCACTACTTACAAGAGAATATCGATCATGTTAACATCCTTTTAGAACACATTTATTTATAATTTATGAACATATGAATGAAAAGAAAATTATTCATTTTTTTTTATTTACTATTTACTTATTTATGCATTATTCTGTGGTTAACAATACAATACAATACAGCGCATTCAATAATTATAGATAGTATGGCAAATAAATTCGCTGAATAGTAAAACACAGCATAATAAATATCCTTCGCCATATTTCCAACACATTCATGTGTATCGATTGGAATCAATTTTGAAAAAATGATTAGTTTTATTGTGATCTATATGAAAAGGATGTTTCAAATGTTTCAAATGAACAGTCGTAGAATATCATCAGGTCATAGGATTTTATGTTTGTAAAATGAGTAGATTAGAAAAACAAATAGTTCTTTTGAATTAATAAAGTATTCATATCCACGGCAGACAATATTTTTACAAGAATTATAAAAATAATAAATATTCAACCATAGATCATAATATATATTTATAAAAATACACCGTTGAAAGTGAAATGAATAGTTTTGTTTTAATTGAAAGTAATGACATTTTTAATGCATATTAATGTTTGATTTTCTGGTTTCATTTGAAGTAGATAATAATAATAATGATTTCAATACTCAAAGAGTTTTTTATTGATTAAACAACCAAAGAAATACTTGACTGAACTTTTACACGTTGTCCATCTACACCTAGTACAGTACGACTTAGACCAGGTGATGGACGTCGTCGAATTTTTGTAGTTAATAAATTTTCATTTGTTGAAGAGAATGATGCAGCAGAATTTCTTAGTTTTCTTTGTGAAAAATTTATTTTACCTATAGGGTTTAATGAATGTTTACTGTTATACATACCAGTTGAACGTTTACCATTTAATAAGTGTACACTTAAATCAATATCTGCATCAGTATCTCGTAAGAAATAAGATTGATTTCTGCAACAAAATTGAAATAGTCGACAAAATTCTTGACGAAATTGTTTACTTGTTGCTAAATATATTGGAAATTTTGCTGCATAATGTGTCATTGCAAAACATTCAATTAATACACGTACAGTGAAGAAACGAAAATAAATTGTCCAACCAGGATCATTACGTATTTGTTCATCAGTTAAATATTCATTACCAGTTGGTAATCGTTTATGAATGACAACAGCGATTGCTACAGACAAATGTGCAATAATAAGATAAAACGATGTACATAACAATGTCAATGTACTTGAACGTGCTCCTTTACTTATTGGCTGAGCAATTTGATTACCATCACTATTTGTATTTGAATTGCCATTTATAGATGTTGTTACAATTAAATTATTTCGTTTTGATTTAATACTTTGGCGTAAAACTCCAATAACCAGTATATTTAATACAAGACAAGTAATTGGCAAACAAAAGAAATATAATGATTCAGTGATAAAAGTCCAATTTGTGTATAAACTAAATCCAATAGAATTAGGATCTTCAACTGATGGTCTAGTGGTACATACACCATGATTATAAGCATACACAAATGCTTGTACACTAGCTGTGATTAAACAAAATGTAAACATAATTCCAATAAATTTAAAAGCACTTTTTACTGTAGAACGCATTAGACTTCTTTGTGAACGGAATGGATGACATATTGCTAAATATCTTTCTAATGTGAATGTAAATGCCAGCGTAGGACTTAGATATTGTATTAAATAATTTATAACAGGGAATGTTTCACAAATTACCGGATGATCAAGTACACCGAGTTGCCATGCCACATGTAAATACCAATTCAAATGTATAATAAAAAAACATAAATCCACAACACCAAGACTAGCTTGATAAACTGCTGCTGCAGCACTACCACCACGTCTCATTGGACGACTACTCCATACAATGATGCTGAATATACTTCCAGGCAATCCAAGTATAGCCCATAATGGAAAATTTGCTCTTTCCACTATAGTTAAATGTGGTGCAAATGTTTTAAACAATAAAAGATCACTATCATTATAACGTTCCCAGACGGATATATTACTCAGTTTATATTCCATGATTAAGTTTTTAGAAGCACTGAAATCTTATACCTATGCATTAATTCCACTAAGTTCAAAGAAATAGATGACATTTTCAAATAGATTGTAATACTTTATTCATTCCATCGTTTGTAGACCTATATAGTGTATCAGTGAACAGCCAATCAAATAATAGAATATTGAACAAATGAAATACGTAATTCGTTTAGAAGTTCATTCGCCCTAATCCTAATTGGTTTGATTTTTTAATTAATCACACTAACGTAGTGAATACACCATATATACTCTGTAAATATATAGTTTCATTAATTTCATACTACTAAAAAATAATTAAGATGGGATCATTTTAATAATTTAAATTCATCAATCCAGCATAAAAAATAAGGTGTAAATGTCAGTTTTAAAAAGTGAATTCAAGTTGATTTTGGTCGTGTTCAAAGTTGGACTTTTAGTAATACTGTTTTTCAAAAGTCACATGAAGCCAAATATTTAAATGTCAACAGTTTGAACATCAAAGTAAACCTTTAGTTATGATAGTGACTAATAGATGAAGGTAACTAAAAGGAGATAAAACGCGAGTAATGAAGATAACAGTCAAAACGAAAGAAAACCTGACTTAATTATGCCTGTTACCCCTAATGAAGCAAAGCCCAACGACCAGTTTTCTCCAACCAACTCTGCCCTGGGCTTCCCTCTCCAGTCCTGTCCGATTTTTGTTCGTTCTTCTCATGTCTGCCGCCATTTCTTGGCGTGTATTTTGGTCGTTCTCTTTTCCTTGGACCTGGAGGGTTCCATGTGAGGGCTTGTCTTGTGACGCAGTTGGGTGTTTTCCTCAATGTGTGTTCAATCCACTTCCACCAATTCTTCCTGATTTCCTCTTCGACTTGAATTTAGTTGGTTCTTTCCCAAAGTAAGTTGTTGCTGATGGTATCTGACCAATGGATCTCAAGTATTCTGCGCAGACACCTGGTAATAAACACCTTTATCTTCTGGTTGATTACTTTCGTAGTGCTCCAAATTTCCTCCCTAGACAGTAGAACTGTAGTCACACTTGTATTGAAAATTCTCATTCTGGTGTTGGTTAATTGTTGTTTGAGTTCCAGATGTTGTAGAAATGCAGCCGTTGTTTTCCTTATCTACGCCCTCACATCTGCATCAAATCCACCTTGTTGGCGTCTTAGTAATCCAGGAAAAAGAAAAATGGTGAGAGCAAGCAACCTTCCCTGACACCGGTCTTCACCTCAAACGAGTCTGTCAGCTGTCCTTTGTGCACAATTTTGCAGTTTAATCCATCATAAGAATTCCGTATGATGTTGACTATTCTCTCAGGCATGCCGTAGTGTTGAAGAAGCCTCCATAATGCTGTCCTGTCCACGTTATCGAACGCTTTCTCGTAGTCGATGAAGTTGATGTAGAGTGGTGAGTTCCATTAGACTGATTGCTCCAAAACAACACGTAATGTTGTAATTTGGTCGGTACGTGATCGATCCTAAAGAAATAAAGCCTATTTATCTCGAGTTTGTGCGTCTAAGAAGTCCTTCATACTGTTTAACAGTACCCTATTGAAGACTTCGTCTGGTATTGAGAGACAAGTGATATCCCTGTAGTTCTCACACTTGCTGAGATCGCCTTTCTTTGGTATTTTGATCAGGTATCCTTCTTTCCAGTAGGACAATACCTATTCTTCATCCCAAATCTTGTTGAAGAGAGTGTGAAGTATTTTTGCAGTTGCTTCCACGTCTACTTACATTGCCTCTGCTGGAATTTTGTCTGGACCTGTTGCTTTGCCACTCATGATTTTTCTAATGGCCATGCTGATCTCTTCAATTGTAGGTGTGCCAACATCGACTGGGAGGTCCGTGGATGCTGCTTCGATGTTGGGTGGGTTCAGTGGAGCTAGTCGAATCAAGAGATCCCTAAAGTGCTCTACCCACCTGTTTAGCCCTTCTCTGGTGGTGCTGATTACTTTGCCTTCCTTACTTTTCACTGGTCGTTCCGATTTACAATAGTTTCAGAGAGCTTCTTTGTTGTACCATACAACTGTCTCAAGTTTCTTTCCCTTGCAGCCTTTTCCGCCGACATTGCTAGATCTTCCACATATTTTCGTTTGTCGGCTCTTATGCTTTCCTTCAGTTTCCTGTTGACTTCTGTGTATTGAAGTGATTGCCCCCTTTATCACATTCCAGTTGTTCTGCAAGGTTGTTTCCTTATTACTGAGGGCTATCCTAAATTCGCTGAGCTTTCCAGGATCCTAAAGAAAGATTGTATTAAAATTTTGAGATGTTGGCTGCCCCGTTGTTCACTTCTCCTCGAGTTTCAGTTTAATTTTTGTGATCAGCAAGTGGTGGTCTGAGGTTGTATCAGCTCCTCTCTTGGTTCTCACATCCTCCATGGTCCTTCTGAACTTCTTATTGATACATATTTGGTCGATTTGGTACTGAGTAATGTGTTCCGGTGAAATCCATGTAGCTTTGTACATTCATTTGTGTGGGAATACTGTTCCGTCTATGACTAGTTTTTTTGAAGACACGTTTTTAAAATTGACTTCAGCCTTTCGTAGAATTGTTCTTTAACGTCGTCATTGTAGTCACTGGTTGGTGCATAACATTGGATGACGTTCATCGTAATTTTCTCTTTCTTTGTTTTGAAGGATGCTTTAATGATCCTGGGTCCATGAGATTCCCATCCAATCAGTGCCTTTCGTGTATGTTTGGACAGCATCAGTGCAACTCCTTGTGTATGTGAAGCATTTTCCTGTTCATGACCAAAGTATAACAGCAGTTCCCCTGAAGCTAGTCTCAGTTTTCCTACCTGGGTCCGATGCGTTTCACTGCCTTGAAGTTTTATATTTTCATTTCTGCCACACCTTGAAACAGTCTTCCAGTCTCTCACAATGTTCGAACGTTCCATGTACCTAAAAAAATGGTTGCTCTGGTTGTCAGAAGAGGCATCGGCCCCGTGACTTCCGAGGGGACTCGGCTTTCATCACGAGACGTCATAATTCTTCTTCCAACTCCCAGGGCAGAGTTAAAATGGTTTGAATTGTTTCTTCTGGTTAGCGTTTTTTGGCAAGTTAGTTTATGATTGGGATGGGGTTGCCAACCCCATGCCCAACACTCCTCCTTTATCCGGGCTTGAGACCGGCAGTAATCCCAAAGGGTCTACAGGCGGAGTTACATATAATTTGAAGTAAAAATAAATTTTGAATACCAAATGAAATAATATTCAACTATGGACAGATGATCATAGTAGTAAGATGATAACAAGTAGACAAAATATCCATACAGTTTAAAATCAAGATTAATTCATAATAATTAATGTAGATGAATTTAACAGATTCTCGAACTCTCATGGCTGATATTATTAAGAGAACCATCGGGAAACTGGAATCACTAGACCTACGTTTTATGATATGGTAGCTTGCATCAGTGAGCGTCCAGTTTCAAATAGGAAATCAAAGTCAGGATCGTTCGTTCATAGTGGGTGTCTAACCCCTGAACCAGCGTTCAGGGGTGAAAGTGTAAAATTTCAATCAGTTCACGATAGTGTATGTCCAACTTCCTCTGCATGTGATGGATAACTGTCTCATATGAGATGTGACTGAAGTTCACTGATCGCTCTTTCTCACCAGAACTCTTGGAATTATTTCTCAAAGTGAATGGTATGTGAGGGCAAGTATGTTATAAATGTAAACTATAAAAGTTGCAAGTTCAAGTGAATGATTCTTCCACATTGTTGATGCTTCAAATTAGTTTTTTTTTGCTTTCTGCTTTATTGTTGTTTTTCCTAGATTACACACTATTTAATGCCCAAAATAATAAACGTATTACTTTTCTATTTTTTATTTTTATTCAACTATCATGCAGATTAGAGTGATATGATATTTTAATTTTGTTTGGTGCAGTTTATATTTTTATATTGTTGTCATAACAGACTAAATGTAATAATGTAGAAAATCCTAATTAATAAATAATACATACAAATGATGAAGTTAATCTGATTAATTATTATTTTTGTGATATATGAAAGTCAGTTTTTTAGAATCAGTCAGAGATAGTCAGTCAGATGCTAGATGGGAGTCAGTAAGAATGTTTGAAAAACCATCTTGTGAACAACTATGTTTTCCCTTTTAATAAAATAAATTTGCCTAGCTTGCGAATTAATAATCTAGGAAAATGAATACAGTTAGCGTAAGTCCTACAAATCACTATAAACAAAATTGAAAGACGCATAAACTAGACCATGCGTTCTATTATATTGTGTTCAATGATTTGAATTTTCCATTAAAAATGTAAATAGTTCAACATTAACATGACAATAATTTCATTGATAAGTCACCTAAAAAAAAGCGAAATAAAACTAACAGTAAAGAGTGATATTTACCTTACAAATGGTAATATATATTGGTAACAGTAATAAGTGCATTATTCATTATAACATATTTTGTATCATATGCATAAGCCCTTACTGTGAGTGTACACGATAAACGCAATGTAATATCTTAACCACTAAAATATAACCATTATCAATTCATTTTAGGTGAAGTCACTTTTAATGACTAAATTATTTGCCATATATGCTGGAATGAATCATAAAAGAAGTTTGCATAGAAGCTGCGTTTCATTACACAATCTACAAAGAATCGATCTTGTTGGTTGTATTCTACTTTTTTTCCTGAATCTAGTTATTCATACTACTATTAATAGACGAAGTCGGTTATTTTATTCTACATAAATATAAGTGAATATTCAGAATTCTGTACGCAGTTGTCAACTTGTTTATGCACAATGAAAACTGTGGTGGTGTTTCGTTCTCTGAGCTGGTTGTTTTGGTTGTGGAGCTTTCATTGTTCGTCTGCTGAACAACATCATCAGCACAAACTTCTGATAGAAATTCTATCTGAGCTACAAGTTTTCTCCACCATCACAATGAAAACTGTACAGTATGAGTCGTTGAGGAAGAAATGTCTCAATATTTTAAAAATCAAATAAATATGTTCTGATTAAAACCAAAGTTTCTCTTATCATATTTAACTTGACTATGATAATAAGTGTAAATCTGGAATTTGATAAAACATCTAGTGTTATGACGAGAATATAAATA